AGTAATAAATACTAAGATCTTGTATATTGTACACTATATCCGTAAATTTCGGCAATCACTATGTACTATAAACTATAAGGTTTATCGGCCTAAGAAAATAATGCTAATGATTGATTTTAAAAAAAAGACTGTATTATGTGCTCACACACATATACAAAACAAATTACAACCATCTCATTCGCAATATGGAAGATTACAAAAAGGGGTTTCAGCAACTTGGCGATAGAGGAGTATATTAGGCAGAACGAGAATAATGGTCTAAAATAAGTGGCTTGCTGAAAGCAGAAAACATAAATTAAAGCTCAGTTCCTATTGCACTTGATGTTGATCAAGCTACTAAAATGATGTTTACAAGATTCAGAAAAGAGCATGATGATTCAAAGAAGGTAATTTCCACAAAAGCAATCAGACTCTGATTAATGTAACAGTTATAAGTTTCTCAAATACTTTTAAATCAACCAAACTATTGCAAAGATATCTACATGTTTAAGATCAATAGGACATTTACGAATCTTCCTGTCGGTTATATTTCCATTTATTCGTTTTTTTTAATTTTTTTTATGTGAACTGAACTGGCAATGAAATACATTGCACCACAACTTGAGAAAGGGAATGTTCATAAACAAATTCCATTAAACAGTTTGCACATGCTTGCAGATTATTTTACGTAAGTATATTTCATTGTTTCAAATACCCGTGCTAGTAACGTTGTGTTCTTTCGAACAGAAATACTCATAACGTAAGAAAGATATACAGCAGTACTTTTTCTACGACAGAATCCATAAATTTACGTCTCTGAATTTATTTATATACATCAGATTTAGGATCTAAAAATATTTGTTGCAAGGCAAAGAAAATATACTGGGTTTGAAGGAAAATGAATTTTCAATACAAAGTAGATGAATTTATGCAGAACGTTTTCTGCGATTAGTTGTTTTTGATATCAGTTCTCAGTGAAGGAAATAAAATTTTGTCCTTTAGCGTACTTAATGTTTTTATCAATTTTATCCGAACGCTGTGAAACATCAAACTGGAAAACCTGCCTATTGTATGGACTATGCTGAACAGAATTTAGCATGCACATTAGTGACTTAGGCGGAATGTTATCTTCAACTGTTAATCAATATACAAATAGGCCAAGGTCTAAAATAATATTAAACAATCTTTAATTCATTGCTGTTTTTTGAATTTATTACGAAAAAGCAATCGTTTACTTATAGTAAATGGTAGAAATTCTTCGGACTGCATAAGAATTACGTATTAAAGTATTCCACACAATGAGACTGCAAATCATTTGTTATGTCTCTAACAATAATAACATTTGTTATGTGCCTAAAGCGAAATAAGTGATCTTAATATTTGTCAGCTTACATTATTATCGTTTTATCTATTCTTGTTAATTTATAAATACTAAATAAGATGTATGTGTGTGTGTGTGATTATGACAAAGCCTCGAGGGCTAGCTTCTTAAGAGGAGGGATACCTTCGTGGAGAACTTTCTAAGGGAAACTGGCTCGTATACACGTATTCCACACAATGAGACTGCAAATCATTTGTTATGTCTCTAACAATAATAACATTTGTTATGTGCCTAAAGCGAAATAAGTGATCTTAATATTTGTCAGCTTACATTATTATCGTTTTATCTATTCTTGTTAATTTATAAATACTAAATAAGATGTATGTGTGTGTGTGTGATTATGACAAAGCCTCGAGGGCTAGCTTCTTAAGAGGAGGGATACCTTCGTGGAGAACTTTCTAAGGGAAACTGGCTCGTATACACGTTACACATGGGGAAAACCACGAAAAGGCCCATGCAGCCAGCCCGTTCGCGGGATTCGAACCTCGGACCGAACTACCAGTGTTCAGCGACTTTACCGCTCGGCCGCTGGTGGGCTTAAATAAGACGTAAAAATATCTAGAAAGGGTATGAGAGAAAACAATATTGTACTAAGCAACATGAATGAAGTAACTGAAGCAATAGAAACTGAAATGGATCTCATTCTGAAAATGGAATCTTCATTGGCTTTTTAGTGCTTTATTGGCATTTAGTATAGAATTATTATGGAATATTTGATGCAGGAGATGTGAAAATATGCAGTGCCCTCGCCGGGACTCCAAGCTTGGACATCTCGAATACGCGCCGAGTATGCTACTATTGCACCACGATGACATGCTGAAAGAAGGGGGAAAATAACTTAGGTATTCCCCTTTTACAGGGCGACTTTTAGGGGACCCAGTAACCAAATCCTGGAGATAACAAATTATTGTCAACCACCTTTTAGTTTGGGCGCCATTTGTAAAGTCATTAGACTTTTTTAATGCAAGAGACGTAAAAAATGTGCGATGCCTTCGCCGGGACTCAAACCTGAGCCCCTTGAGCACGCTCCAAGACTGCTACCGCTACACCACGAAGACATGTTGGAAGGAGGGAGAAAGTACCTTGCATTATGCAATACATGTAAAATTTTCAAACAATATTCTAGGATACGAACATTAATATAAAAATTCCATGTGTCAAATAATATGCTTGTTGCCATTCAAATTACACCGAAAGGCTGGCATCAGAAAGTATTCTAGATACGCGAGAATGGTTGATGTAACGTTTGAATCACTTGGTGCACTCGATGTGCCACGATAATGCCACAGAAACTAACTAAACAATCATCTTTTTACCCTTAACACGTTGATTATTACTTTGCAAATTCCTTAATTCTTTTATTTTAAAATAAGGATTATTCTCTTATGTTTCGTGTTTTACGTTATTTTTATCTCAAAAGGTCAATTAGTCTTGAAACATAATTTTACGTCGTTTTGCTCTTCATTCGAATCTGTTGCCATTCGGCGTATTTATCTATTTAATCTGTGTTAAATAGGAAACTACTTGCCGTGAGAGGTTTATACTTCCTCTTAGGGAGGAAACTAAACTCTTAAGAATTTGCTAATTACCAAACTTTTAGTGATCGTATAGTGAATTTTTTAATGCATTTGTGTTGTAAAAATTGCATCCCGGGACCGCGCCGTGAGAGGATCGAAAACATAAGAAAAACATATACAAGATATATAGGAAAAACATATTAAATATATAAAGAAAACATACTGTAATAGGTTTCCAGATTAAATATCAGTTTATTCAATTTCATCACAATAAAAAAAAAAATCTTATCCTCATCAGAGAGTCTAAGGAGAATTATTCAATTTGTCATTTACTTTTTTTTTCATTTAAATTCATATAAAAAACCTTAAGGTTTGTCTTGGTAATTTAAAAGGGAAAAGGGAAACAATTGAAGGCCTGAGAATTAATTTAAGATTCAACGTTGTTTTTTAACTTACTTAAAGTTCAAACACAAAAAAAAATAAAACTTATCTTGGGTGGACATCTTGAAGTGGAGGACTCGTATCTTAATAAGCGTTGACGTCGGCGGGGCTCATCTTTACGGTCACAAAATGGAAGTTTCAGAAGACATCGTCCTGTCCGGGCACTATTTGCGAAAACACACACGCAGGTAACTGGTTTTCATAATGATGAAGCTATTTTTAAGTCTGTAAAACAGAAACAGGAGCTCTGCTGCCCAGCACGGCTATCCGCTTGGTCTTGAAAGTCTTAAGTCAACACGCAGGTAACTGGTTTTACTAATGACGACGTTATTTTACCTCTGTAAAGCAGAAACAGGAGCACTGCTGCCCAGCACGGCTATCCGCTTGGTCTTGAAAGTCTTAAGTCAACACGCCAGGTAACTGGTTCAAAATTTCGCCTTTTTAACCAGAAACGCGGCAAGGGAGCATGTTTGCAGCTCCCGGCCAGAAACGTTTTCTAGGCAATTACGGCTCGCCTGTACATCTTGCTCATCCCAAGAGGAAGCTTCACGAGTAACGTCCAAAAGTAAGTTCCAAAAACCAGTCAGTAAGTAAGTCTCGCCTCTTAACCCAAAACGCGGCCGGGGAGCATATTTGTCGCTCCCCGCCGGAAAACATCTCTCGTCGTGAATTACATCTTGCCTATCGCTTTCAAGCAAGTTTCAAGAGTAACGTCCAAAAGTCCAGCCAGCCTGTAAGTAAGTCATTTCAACTCGAATTTCCTTCGTCTCCTTCACAAACGCGGGTTCCCACTATGGCTTCAATTATCGCCCCCTTAATTATGGCAAAATTTGCGTTTTCAACCCCTGAATGCGGAAATAAGGGTGATCGCGCATGCGCGCCCTTCTTCACTTAGCCAACAACCGGACCCTCAATCGCCAAAAACCTGAATGACTTACATTGAAAGACAAGTAGCAACCTTTGACCTTTTTGTCACGTACTTCCTCTCTTAAGGTCAACTACACAATGAAAATCCTTCTAGAACATTCTAAAGGACAAAGCGCGCGAAATCATGACTTGGCAAAAAATTGCTTCCCTTTCCCTGCTTCTTTTCACAATGAATCAAAGCTTGTCCAAAATTTGCAAATAAAGGAAAATAAATAATATTCTTTTAAACTAAATAATATTCCCAGAAGCATCTGTTTTTCCCCAAAATTAAAGCATTAAAATAAATAATTCAGAATCAAATAAAATTAAGATTTCCATAAATAAAAAAAAATCATTCACCTAGTTTTTAAAACGCTATCAGACAAATTCTCTACACAACATCTGTCTGTTGTTGATTAAAATCCAGGCTGTTTAAAAGCAATAAACGCGGTTCTTAAGAATGTTACAGTTTTACATTTTAATCTCAGTGATTTAAATAAAAATGCATTAAATTCGTTATAAAACATTTTTGAAGAATTACATTATGTACCTTTTCACCCTTCAACTATACAAAAGGCATGTTAAGTGTCAGGTTAATCTCAATGTATCCTGTAAAATGATTCGCTATTCCACCTGGGCCGACTTTGTTGATAATCTCTACTGATAAATCATATTAAACATCAAAACAGCTTTTTTGGACAACCTCATGTGAGATTGGTTCTCATATGAGAGAAAACAAATTCGGACAACGAGGACTCACACTGACCCTTCGTTACCTGAAGTCGCTGCGGGACGTCATAGGTGTGCTCAGTCATGCGACCTCCACCCCGGGTCCGCTGCAGGCTCTGCTCCGGCGACTCGGACGTGGGATCTGGCACATGGTTGGGAATGTGGGTGGTGGCGTAAGGCAGAGGATAATACAGTGGCTCCCTTTGGGAATCGTACACAGAATTACCCTTTGCCTTACCGTAGGAACTCATGGAAATATCGTCAGCTCGACCTCCGGAACCGCGGGAATCTGTAAGGAAAAAAATAATTATTGAATCCATATCCACGAGCATAGCAGTGTAATTTTGATGCAGAAGAACACATACGGTGTGCTAATTATAATTTTTTATATTAATAACTCAAACCCATACAAGATGGAAAGCACGCTAAAATAACAATTTAATACACAAGGATTGTAACAATTAGGATCAGAAATTTAACTCACAAAAAGCTCATATAAGGTGGCCATAGATATTTTGTACTTTTATAAACCAAATAAAAAATGCAGTTAAACAAACTTAATCATCGAGATTTTATTTAACATAATAAACATATCCAAAAATTTACTATTAAAAATAATATCGGTGAGATGTCTTTATTCATATCTTTATCAGTTTTATAACGGAGCATTAAATTTTGGAAAACACACTGAACAGATAGTGAGCGTAATTCCGGCTACTTTATCAGGAACGTTCTGTTTCAGTTGGTCTACGGTTAACAGTTTACTTTTTTACTTTCATGTAAAGGTTTCTATTCCAATAAAAATCGGCAAGAGAAATATCCAGAGACACCTCGGAGACCATGGTATGTCACCTCTATGAGAAAACAATTTGTTGGAGAAAATTCTTTAACCACAGGTATGCAGAGGTTTTAGAAATGGCATTGTAGAAATAATCTGTTGGATTGAGCTCTTCTTGTGATACCCATCAAATTCTTCCAAGGCTTCGAATGTCTATCGTCTTGCCCGTTTCCTTTGCTTCGCCAAGAACTTCACCTTCTTGCATTTTTCAAATTTATGGTAGATCCAGTTTATTCTAATTTCTTAACCCGTGATTTAGTTTGTAAGGTATATAACAGTTTATAACAAGTTTATAACAGTTATTTTTAAGTTTATGCAGCTTTTCTATCTCTCCTATCTTCAGCTTACAACTCCTTACTAGAACGACTTTTAGAAACGCGTTTAATGCAAATGAGAAGGAGTGGTATTTAAGTCGAAGTCCCACTAACTTCAAGAGAGAGAATCATAATTTCTGAATAGTGCGCATTTGCCTTTTGGCTACTTCTCTCTAAGAGGTTACTACTCTCGGATAAATTGCTTTAGTTAGTCATCACTTTTGAGTTAAATCCCAAGTGGAGGCCTTGCTGTACGCCCTGAGAAAAGGGCCGATTGTATATCTTTCTTGTGAGCAATAAAGGGTAACTAACATTTCTTGAGTTTAACTTTCTGTTTCTGAACTTAAGCGATTATTCGCTTAGCTGTTCACTAGGTTCCTCAATACTCAGATAATAGTTAAAAGGGAGGAACACTATTAGATAATACTGGAATATTTAGCAATGTCATGTCAATCATTGTGTTACGAGTGTACGGGCTCTTAATGGATTGACTGTATATATAATCAATGATATCTTGATGTAATTTATTTTTGCAAAGAAATTTTTACAGTTCTTCAACTCTTCACATATACGTACTCGCGCAGCACTTCTGAGTATGACAGAGCCCAATCAATAGTTATCACTTCAAACTACTAAAAGAGTTAAACACAAGCATATACAAAAGCCTCAAATACGTAGGCTGGTATAGCTATGTCTCAATGTTCTAAACAAGTAAACCTTCTCTTCTTTGATAGCGGTTTTCCGAAAACCCATATATTTTCTGAAAGCTTATATCACAAGCAGAAAAACTGTGAAGTGTTAGGGGCAGGACAAGCTTTTCGGAGCTATAGAACCCACAAAGTATCATTAAATTGTGTATAGATGGACATATTTCCGTAATGACTATGTTAACGCTTTGTCTGCTTTATTGATGATAAAAACCTACAAAAAGAACTGGTACCTGAAGGATTTAAGGGAAAGATCCATCCTCTGGATATTCATTATTTTCAGACACTAAAAATCTTTTGTTCGTTACATAACGGATACAATCATTATCGAGACACAGGAGCACATTTGGCATCGCAATAGCTTTGTGGCCCTGCAATCCTTTTCACTGTATCAGTTCAGCGCTCATCGTGTTAAAAACGTGATTAAATATGCTTTTTATAAGGACAAATACTTGGTACGACGAACCTGGAATGTGGATTGCGCCAATGGATTACTGGTTCGATTCATTGACACACGATGAGTGTGCAAAGTGTGAGGCTATCGCTTTTTTAAAATGTGCCCAACGTGAGCTGTCTTTCTGCCCCTCTCACTGTTTATTTGATGAATTTCACATTGATTGCATATTGTAGTATATTTTGTTTGAAGTCAATAACAAGTCACAATTTCAATACTCCAACGTATAACGTTTCTTTTCAACGAGATGTTTCTTTCTTTATATTGAGATCCCAACCTTCTTACCATATCATTAGTTCATATAAATACGTGAAACGATCATTTTAGCGAGTTTTGGTGTCATGTTTCCATGTTTTCGTTTCTGATACTTTGTGAGCCCTATAGGTCCAAAACTCTTGTCCCTCTGCCCCTAAGATTTCCCAGTTTTTTTACTTGTGGCATAATCTTTCAGAAAATGTACAGGTTTCCGGGAAATGGTATCAAAGCAGAGAAAGTTTACTTGTGAGTAAAGCTCTGAAATCAATTCAGAATCAAGCTGAGAACTTTTTGCCGTCTTATACAGTTTTCCCCCAGCTGTTAAGAAATTTCTAGTACGAAATTTACGAAAATGTTTACGAAATTGTTGGAAGGCCTACACAGTTACAGTTACAAAGGAATGGGACCTGTTAGAATTAAATAGGTATAGGACTAAAATATCGTCAAATGGTGACAAAGTTTGGCGACTTTTGACAATTTCTGTCCAAATTTGGCTACACAAATTAGCTGCCGAAACCACAGCCAACTTGGCGATATTTCGCAAAGGATTCAGAGTTGTAGCCCTGCGGTTTCGACAACGCTTCTTACTCTTAGCTACTCTTTACGACTTTCATGTTATATTTTACAAGAAATATTACAATTTACATATAATTTCATTAAAATTATTTTCATGTACACAAAATTTGTAACAATGAAGCGCGGTATAGCTACATGAGAATAAAACTGTTTTACACAAGAAGCGAACTCTTTAGTTTTGAAGCGTCCCATTGTGACCAGGACCCTCCGAATTGATGTATAGCTAACCACAGCTAACGCAGCTCGTTTCGAAATGATTTTTGGAAAAACGTTTCGCCTTTTGCAAAGATTCATGGCCCGCTTCGTATAATATCAAAAAACTTTGTCAAGAGAGAATGAGATTAAACTCAGAGAGGAAAGGATGTTAAATCTTTAAAAATATGATATAAAACTTTATTATGTCTAAACAGGAAAAAGCAATGAATAAATAAATAATAGAAATTTTGGAGCATACTATGATATTGCTTATGTGGTTCGGGGCACAGTCTACATTCACAAGTTGCTAGTATTTATATGCTAACCAGGATTATCATCAGATACAAGTGTACTTTTTTAATCAGAAACTTATTAAACATGATAACAACAATACCCACAGGATTTTAAATTAGAAATTGGAATACGAATGCGTTTCCATCTTTCATAAAGACATTACGCATGAGGAGCATTATTAGTGATTTAATACTTTAAAGAAATTATGTTTAATTTATTGAAAATTATTCAATTAAATTGAATGTTACATAACCTCGAAACAAAGAGATATAAATTAATTCACATTTTTAAAATCCCGTTTTAATATTTTATATTAAAATGAATTATCCGTAAATGAACATCTAAAGCAGTATCTCCATTATTTTGCTCCTTAACAAAGCCAGGAATTTTCTTCGTGCTGTTTACATCTTAAGCGCATTCACAACTGCGAATAATCAGGTCTGCTATTCAAAGCACATGGCGCCTGTCTCTGATAGAATTCAATAATGAGTTTCTAATTTAAATTCTTCCAATTTTCCATTCAGTTGCCAAGTCTGGAGCTGGAAATGTAATGTGAAAAGGCAACTTCGTGCATAATAATTACCTTCCATTACGCTCTGCTATTGTTCCGTTTTGTTCAGTGGTTAACAATTGCAACAGAGCAACAATAGCGGTGTTCACGGACTGTTTCTCTTGTCTTTCCAAGCATACATCTGGGAATATAAGAATTTTACTCAACCTGAAATTTCCAAACATTGAACAATATGATTATTATACACAGTATGAATTTAACTAACGTTTGTGATTTAAATTATCACAATCTCTAAGTGAATTGCTACGTGTTTGAACCGCAGTCGTCATAAGACATAAACAGCGCCAATAAGACTTTACCGAATAAAGCATAGAATTCCTCTCTCTATATATATAAAGAAGATTGTCTACCTGTGTGTTTGTTTGCGATTAACTCAGTCACTATTATAGCTATCGACACTAAATTTTCTGTAATTCTTTTCTGGGTTCTAGAAAAGATATACAATTTTTACTGCACTTCACTTAAACTCATTCCCTCGAATTTCGTTAGAGATATATTTCTAATTAAAACAATTCTCTCACTTTGAGGCAAGGCAAAAATATATAAAAACTCAACACATCTTCATTAAAAATTGCAAAACACAGAAAAACCTAAAAACACCAAATACAGTTAAAAACAGATTGAAAAACAGTTTTACAGTTAAAATTAGAGGTTCTACGCCACCGCAAATGATTCGGCTAACATTCAAAAAGACAAAATTTTCGGTGCACAATTAAAGTTAACTTTTGGACTCAACTGGCAGAAAGACACTGAAGTTGGTGTACCAACTGAATTCACTAATAAGAGTTTCAAATGCAAACAAATAGCCTCTACGTTAGGCCTAGCGCAACTTTTAAATAGTTGATAATTCCACACCTATCGCATGCAGATTTGCTAAAATCATAAAAACCTTACCAGAAATAAGAACAACATAATTCACTCACATTTAAAGCAAAATATGCGCTATTTAGCAACATATAAGAATAAAACACAGAGCTCGCCGAACCGGATAAAACGATAGGTGTTTGTACATATATATATATATGTGTGTGTGAGGTGTGACACAAAAAAGTGACTAAGTGTGTAGCTTGAAAATAGAGTTGGCA